TTTGAGCTTCTTAAAAAATGAGTTTGCTACTCTAAAATTTAAAACATATCTTTTAAATCAAATCTATTTAGAACTTATTTTTATTTAATCTCTTACCTTTTATTTAGTTAAGTTCAATGTGCCTAATTTATTTAGAAGTATATAGAGCAATTTTTTAACTCTTTTTCGTCCTAAGTTTCTATTCAAGTAAAGTTAGTCTTAAGAATATTTTTCTTCTTCTCTAAATTTTGGTTAATTACATATTATCAAGATGCTGAAATGAATATAATATATATACTGGAACACCATCTTAGGTTGGAATGGGTGGCACGGCACCTTTGACCCCTTAAGCAACGAATCCCAAAAGGAAGTGATGTTGTGTATGGAGAAAACCTAAGTTGGAAGAGCAAACCCCGTTTTGGGCCGTAAGAATCTCGTCCATAACCAGTTTAAAATAATAAGAAAAAAACCGACGCCATTGAGCCAAAAAAAGAAAAAAAGTGCAGTAAATGGCTAGGTAAAAAAAAGTAAAATAAAAGAAAATAAATGAATAAAATATTGTTTGAGCACTCGAGTTGAAACCCTCGGAATACTTCGTTTATTTAGGTCCTGGGCTATCTGGAATGGGCCTGGGGTAGCCTGGTTGAGACTCGCTACACGGGTCAACTCAAACAATGAAAAAAATTAAATACTAAATAAAAGCAATAAATTGAAATTTCCAGATTTTAGAAAAGGAAATAAATTTTCTTGAGCATTTCCTTGATGGTTCCTTAGGATTTCTAACCACTTTTTGCTTCTCTATGTATTTCTTTTAAATTATTCTCAATGGACTTAACTAATTCAAAGTTTTGACATTGAATAAAAGTAATTTCTACTTAGCTTTGAAGTGAAAGAATTGTTTAAAATTTAAAGTAGCAAATTGATTTTTAAAGTGTTCATTCTATTTGGTATATGATTAATTTTTGATTAATGTTCAAATACATCACTTTACATTGTTATAAGATAGAGAAGTTATTTTGAGTTCTAATGTTAAAAAAAAGAGAGTTATGATTTTTGGTATTTACTTTGCCCGAGGACGTACAAAGAACTAAGTGTAGGGGTATTTGATACGTTACAAATTGTCACACTTTATTTGGTCATACTTTAGTTCTTTATTATATTTTTAATGAATTTTATGTTAAAATAAATTACATAATGAAATATTTAGCTTTTTAGGCTACTTGTTATATTTTTACACTAAAATCATAAGTTGGGTAAAGTTTTTATTATATTTCGTGTTGAAATTAATTTCTCTTATATGTATTTTTAGATATACTTTTTGGAATAAAAAAACATGTTAAATTCAAGGGATGGAGAATTGGGCCAAGCTTTAATGGATTGAAGATTTAAAGTCCAAGTGCAAGTCAAGATCCAATTGCTATACAAATCCTATCTCAATTCTCAACCCAACAAAATGAAAACCTAAAGAAACAAAAAAAGGGATATAAAAGGAGGAGGAGGAACGAACAAAAAGAAAAAAAAACGGAAAAAAAGAGGCGAAAGAACAGAGAGCAGCGGCAGTGGCGACCTCCATCCTGCATCGTCGTCAACCTGGACGGCTCCACATCTTCCAATTTTAGAGTTCAATTCCTCTTTTCTTCTCTTTAATATGTCAAACTTTAATTTTTATTGTGATGATTTTTGCACTATGATAGCTTAAAACTCCATAGCTAGGGCAAGGATGAAACATATATATTCAATTTGATTTTTACTCATGATTTATTTTTCCATATTGATCTTAAATATTTATTGTCTATTTTTCCAATTGATTATTAGGGTTAATTTTTAGATGAGTTCAATCATGTTTTTCTCATGCTTTGAGTAATCCTGATAATTGTTTGACAAGTTCAAAGAGCAGATATTAGTTGTGATTTCTTGATGAGATACAATTAATGATTTGAATTTCTCTTGAAACTTTGAAAAATAGCAAACTATAGAAATTGTTTTTTTAGAGCTTAATTGATATATCCTCCATGATAACGGGACTTGGTTGCGAGATTATCATGCGTATTAAGTTTGGAAAAAATAATGATTGAGTAAAAATTACATTTGAATATATAAGTGGATTCCAAGTCCTAGTTCTTTCTCATATTTGAAAACTTATTTTTAATTTCTTAGTTTTTAGTAGTTAATACAATCTTTAGTTTTTGTTTAATTATTTAAGATTTCTTTAAAATTATTCATTTTAATATTTAGTTTTTCTTAAAATATTAAATTATGTCCAATTAGATTAGAAATATTCAATTGAATCTAGAATAAAATTCTTCACATAATCAAGTCCCTGTGGGATCGACCTCGTATTTGCGTTGCTATACTTTCGTACGGTTCGTGCACTTGCGAGTAAATAAAATATCACAACACCGGGTCAGCAGCAAATTGTGCCCAAGCTGACGGGTATGGTGTGAATGCTCCCCCAGGCGTTGTTATCGAGCCTGGGAACATTGTTGTCGTTGGCGTAGGAGTAGGGGTTGACATGATTGGGATCATGCCAATTGATCCTACCGTGGTGATCGGGGCAAAGGTCGTCCCCATGCTCGACATCATCAATGGGATAGCAGGAGTGCTTTCACTCGCAGCCTGGCTTGACACAGTGTTGTGGTTGCTTGAAGACATGATTGCAGATATTTAGTGGGGGTAAAGTTTTGACCTGGTCGAAAAAACTTTTACAAGTTCGGGTCCCACGGTCGGCGCCAAAAATGATGGTGTAAATATAGCTGGGTGGGGTTGACCGGGCTTTGACCTGGACACTTGACCCGTAATATAAAACACACAACAAGAACACAAAGTATGACCTAGATAGGGTAAATCTCCTCAGTCCGAATTATATTTCTTACTCTGTCTCAAGAGTGTACTAGTTTTTAGTGAGATAAAGAATTTTCCCCTCCTCTATCCAATATTATCATATTTATAAAGTAGGATTTGTGACCTTCCCCTATTCACCCATGGACAAAATAGGAAATTCGGAGGAAGGCCACTTTACATAATCTAATCACTGTTCAATCATAGACTTGCTACTAATACAACCAAGAAGCACTGTTCAATCAAAGACTTTAACATGGATATTCTCAATCCAATCAGCCCTGCAAGATGACAAACATCCCTTTCACTGTTTGCCTCGTGATGGACGAACGGCAGGGTGGTCTCTCGATCTTTTACGCGGTTCACCATGCCTGAGATACTGAACCAATGTTTGTCAAGCAAGATGACATGACCGGTCACCTTTTCTCAAAGGTTGACCGGTCATTTCTTGAGCTTAGCCTAGAACTTTGGTCTTCTTGAATTCTTCGTAACATTAGATGACATTTTGGCTATCGCCCAAAATGTGACCGGTCACTTTTTTAGTGGAAGTGACCGGTCAATTTTTGACCCGTCTCAATCGAAGAGTTAACCTCATTTGGTGACTGATAAAAATGACCGGTCATATTATGACTTGTCCCTTTCAGTTTTCCGGGTCGGGTATAAGGATATACCACCAACCAATTCACTTCACATTACACACATTATCATTGCATTCATACAACATCTTTTTCCATAGCTTTTTAGAGCCAAATTGTGTGAAGTTTGAGTTGTTCTTGAGCGTAAATATTTTACTCAATATCCACTCTAAAAGAGAGTATTTGTTCTTGGGTGTTTTAGTATTGTATACACGTTAAGGGAAGCTTATTTCCCTTGGTTGTACGAAGGAAAGGTATTTTCCTTTGGGTTGAAGTCTTGGAGTGCAGTATCTCCGAGCAAGTGTTGTTGAGGCTCATGGGACTCGAGTTCTCAGGTTGTAACGGTTTGTTAAGCACCCGTAAGCTTAAAGGAAGTAGTGTAGCTCGAGAGAGTCTCTCGGGAGGCTGGATTAGCCACACGTTGTGGTGAACCAGTATAAATCTTGGTGTGCTCCCTTTACGCTTTCTACGCTCTTTACTTTTCACGTTCTTAATTTTTTATTCCTGCGATTTCTTCGATCAAATGCTTTTCATCCCCCATCTAGCGTTGGTCACTTATTCTAACAAAAAGAGAATGTTTCATTGAATTTTGTATCATGAAAATGAATCACTAAACAGTTCTTTTGGACAAAAAATAAAAATTTTTAATTTAAGACAAATGAAGTCTACTTCAATTTTTTTTATTTAGTTGATTTTTTATTGCACACAATTTTTTTATTAAATCATTATTAAAAATAATTTTTAAAAATAAATAAAAAATATTTATGAAAAACATAGAAGAAAAAAGAAGAAAACAATAAAGAAAAACAATAGTGCAACAATATGAGAACATAAAAGGCAACAATGTAATTTTTAAATGACTTTTTAGTCTAAAGGGAAGCTGGTGTAACAATATGAGAACATAAAGGGCAACAATGTAATTTTTAAAAGCACAAGGGACAATGAATATTTACTACTCCTTCCGTCCCAAAATAGATTACAATTTTTTTTCTCTCTCCTCTCGATAACTTTTGTTTATTTACGCGATTTCATTAAGTATTCGATAAAATAATATATTCTTGTCACCTCTTGTTTTGTAGAACTTTTGATAAAGTTTTTTTAATATGTAATTTTATATCTTATTGATATACCAATTTGTAAATAAAATGATTTTAAAATGTAGAAAATTTTAGTCCGTAACTCGCAATTTGTAATCAAATTGGGGACGGAGGGAGTATACAATAGAGATATGAGCAATGCTAGGGGTACACCATTTGGGGTACCCCAAATGTACACCACCCTCTTTTCCTCCACATCTTTTTATTTGATTTTTATTTACTTATTTTTTTTGAATTTTTTTGCCTTTTTTAGTGGACAATGAGGGGGTGAGGGACATTTGCCCCTAGCATTTTTCTAGAGATATTGATGTAATAAACTCTTTCAAAAATACTAGGGATATACTAATAGTGTATCTCGCACCACCAATCTCTCCGCCACACTTTTTAAGTGGATAAGAAGAGCTAGAGAGGATAAGTCGATAAGAAATATGTAATGGGGACTACTGATGTATGCGGTACACTTCTGGTCCTACCCTAGCAACTCAATCAATTCGGCACTCTTTGGTTTTTTTCCACCCAACTCCACACTGCTCCCATGATTGGAGACGATGATTCGCTTTTCTTTATGGTGGGCTCAAGCAAGGTGAATGACAACGGATTCTCTATCCGTGTACAGAGTATATACGAAGTACGATGACATGTATGGTTTTCAAGTGCTGATACGTGTATGTATTAGCTCCTGGCTCCAGGTTCTATAATACTACACCGGTCTATTTATATTGATTTTTTTCAGTTACTATTTTCAACCTACTTATAATTAAATATTACATATATATTAATTAAGTAAAATAATATTTTGAAAATATTTTATATAGTGAAAATTTTGTTAAGTAAAGAGCTACGAACGGAATGTGATTGTTGAATGTGAGTTATTTTACTGCGATTTGTAATGGCAGCTGAAATCGACTTGTTCTGATTTCATGGAGACTTTGATTTAATGCTCTGTCAATTTAGTGTTGCAGGCGAGGAGACCTCTCGGATTGAGAAGAGGGTCTCGAGGCTGTTACAACAATTAGAGAAAGAGAGAGAGAAAGCTAAAAGAAAATAGATTAGGTAATACTCCCTCCGTCCTAGAGTATTTGTCGACTTTCATTTTTACACACCATCCAATGCACTTCTTTAATCCATTTTATCTTGTAATTTGCATATTAAAAAATTATAAAAATTATATATTAATAATCTATATGTTAAGACAAATCAAACAAGATCACATATGACTATATTTAGGCTTACACATTGAAAGAATTTGATGAGTCAAAGTGCTTAGATGAACAGTTTCAAAAGTCAAAAGTGGACAAACAAAGCGGGACGGAGGGAGTAACTTTTCTATTTCATCTCCAAATCCTCCATCAACATATATATCGGGTCTCATATTAAGTGATTATACATAAACAAGAAATAAGAAAACAATAACTAGTATAAATGGGCCGTGGAATGGCCCATGGGCTAACACCCGTAACATTCCTCCCTCCTTAGCTTGAGCTTTGTCCTCAAAGCTGGAAACCTGGAAAGCGTTGCATGAAGGATTCAGACCATTCCCATGTAGCTTCCTCTTCTGGTACCCCCAGCCATTTCACCAAAAACTGCACTCCAGCCTTGTTTGCTTTTTTCTGGATCCTTCTAGAGAGAATAGCTTCAGGAAGAGGATGACTTTGACTATTTGTGCCCTGGAACCAGTAAGGAATGTGTGGCTCAGCAGGTAGCTCCCCCCTAAACCTCTTAAGTTGGGACACATGAAAAACTGCATGAATCTTAACAAGCGGGGGTAACTGAAGCTTATAGGCTACCTTGCCCACCTTTGATACAACCGGAAAGGGGCCAACATACTTAGGTCCCAACTTCTGATTATGCCTCGGCTGCACACTTGTTTGTCGGTAAGGCTGCAATTTTAACCATACCCAATCACCTACATCAAACTCCCTTTCTGATCTATGCTGATTGGCCATTTGCTGCATTCTGTTTTGAGCCCTTTGCAGCTGATGCTTCAATTGTTTGATCATCTCCTCTCGTTTTTGGAAGGACCTGTCCTCTGCCTCAACAGTAGTCTCTCCAAGTAGGGTAAATGGATAGGGGGAGGCTGACAGTATACTCCTTCATACAGTGTCATGTGGATAGAAGAGTGGTAGGTCGTATTGTACCACCATTCAGCGAGGGGAATCCATTTACACCACTCTTCAGGATTCTGGGAGCTCATGCACCTCAAGTAAGTCTCCAAGCATCTGTTCACCACTTCGGTCTGCCCGTCTGTTTGTGGATGATAGGCAGAAGACATCAAGAACTCAACTCCATGAACGGAAAATAGGGCCTGCCAAAATTGACTTAAAAACACAGTGTCTCTGTCACTGACTATAGTGCTTGGCATCCCATGCAATTTAAACACATTATCCAGGTAGCATTGAGCCACTTCTAGAGCTGTATAGGGATGGGAGAGCAACAAAAAATGGGCATACTTACTCATTCTATCTACCACCACAAATATAACATCCTTACCCATTGATCTAGGAAGCCCTTCTATAAAATCCATGGAAATATCCTTCCATACCTCTGTTGGAAGCTGTAGGGGCTGAAGGAGGCTTGGATAGGCAGCATTATCATATTTGCAAGCCTGGCATGTGAGACACCTTCTCACAAAGTGGGATACATCTTTGTTCATGCCCTTCCAGTAGAACAAGGATTTGAGTCTTCTCAATGTTGCTTCCCTACCAGAGTGTCCTGTCACCGGTGAGGAATGTTCCCATTGAAGTAACTTAGCTTTGAGTGTATCACTAGCCCCTATGACCAATTTGCCTTTCCTCCTCAGCTGGTCATTTTCCCAAGTATAGTGGTGTACTGGTAGGTTTTGTTGTAAGTTTTGTATACATCCTTTAATGTCTTCGAGCAAGGAAGAATCAATGGTAGAGAGTGCCAAGCATAGGATTTCCGCCCTAGTGTGTCGAGAAAGGCTATCTGCAGCTAAATTTTCTTTCCCTTGCTTATATTGAATGTCATAAGTGTACCCCATCAATTTGGACAGCCAGAATTGTTGGAAGGGTGTAGAAATTTTACTTTCAAGTAGCCACTTAAGACTTTTTTGATCAGTCTTAATAGTGAAAGGTTGATGAACCAGATATTGTTCCCATTTTTGCACCGCAAAAACTACTGCCAGTAGTTCTTTCTCATACACAGATAAGGCTTGCCACCTAGGCCCTAATTATTTGCTGATGTATGGGATGGTGATCCTGCATTAGAACAGCTCCAATTCCTCCTTGGGATGCATCAGTCTCAACCACAAACTGCTTGGAAAAATCAGGAAGTGCCAACACAGGAGCACTACACAAGGCTTCCTTCAAATTTTGGAAAGCTAAGTTGGCTTCTTCAGGCCAATGGTAATTTCCTTTCTTCAACAAATTAGTGAGAGCTTTACTTATAGTTGCATAGCCCTTGATAAATTTTCTATAATACCCAGCAAGACCTAAGAAACTCATCAATTCCTTCTGGTTGGTGGGGCTAGGCCAATTTTTTATGGCCTCTATCCTGCTGGGATCAGTAGAAACTCCCTGCCCGGAAATGTAATGGCCCAAGTACTCTACTCTTGATACTCCAAAGGAGCACTTACTTCGTTTTGCCAACAACTCATTTTCCCTCATAGTATTGAATACTCCTCTCAGGTGTGTGTAATGCAGTGCCAATGTAGGGCTGTAAATGAGGATGTCATCAAAGAACACTAATACCGATTTCCTGAGTTGGTTTCTGAAGACATGGTTCATTAGGCCTTGGAGCAGGGGCATTGGTTAGGCCAAATGGCATAACCAAGAATTCATAATGGCCATTGTGAGTCTTGAAAGCAGTTTTGTAGATATCTGTAGCAGCTACTCTTATCTGATGATACCCAGCCCTCAAGTCAATTTTGCTAAACACTGTGGCTCCAGCCAATTTATCGATGAGTTCATCCACCACCGGTATAGAAAACTTGTGCTTAACTGTCTGCTTGTTCAGTTCTCTATAGTCCACACAAAGTCTCCAACTCCCATCCTTTTTTCCAACTAATACTACCGGAGAAGCATAGGGGCTTCCACTATCTCGCACTATTCCACTATTTTTCATCTCACTGACCAGCTGCTCAATCACATCTGGTATCTATAAGGCCTAATATTTACTGGGCTGGCATTAGGCTCTAGTGGAATAGTGTGGTCGAAAACTCCTCTGTAAGGTGGTAGTCCTCGGGGTTCTTGGAACAGGTCCTCGTACTCTTCCAATAGCTCTTGCATGATAATAGGAGTTCCCTCTGAAGTGTTCTCTTGCTGTGTACTAGTATTATCCCCACATGGAGTGTAGATGTGCAACAAGCATAATTGACTAGAATTGTTTAGAATCTTGGTAGTTGTTAGGTCTGGCTTCAGCAACCTGCTGTTTCATGCCCCTTAGAACTTGTCTGTGTCCTTTATAAGAAAAATCCATCTCTAATTTACTAAAATCCCACTTCACTGGACCCAACATACTTAGCCACTGCACGCCCAACACCATGTCACATCCCCCCAGTGGAATCAACAACATGTCAGACTTGTAGGTCGTTCTCTGAAGTCTCCATTCAAACCCAAGGCACATAAACTTGCACTGAAGTTGGTTCCCATCTGCAACTATCACTGATTTGGCTGCAATGGAATCCATCTTACATCCCAACTTCTTGGCTAAGGAGATGTCCAAGAAGTTGTGAGTACTGCCCGAGTCTATGAGGATATGCAAAGGCTTCAGTCCATAATACCCTGTCACCCTCATGGTCTGGAACCCTTGATTGCCACTGATGGCATTTACTGAGATCAAGGGGTTGTCGCTTCCCACTTGGTATGCTGAGTCTTGAGAATCCAACTCCTCCTCTATCTCTAAATCTCCAGGCACCTCTACCAGAAACAGCTGTGTTCCCCTGCCAGCACATTTATGCCCCTTTTCAAAGGGCTTGTCACAATAATAACAGTCCTTTGGCTATCTTTTCAGCCCTGATTGCAGCGGGAATGAACTTAGGTTGGGTTGCTATAGGAACAGAACTCACCGGTTTGGCTACAGGTGTTGGTAGAATGCCCTTGCTAGTAAACTGAGATTTGATGCCCTTTTCTTGTCCTTTAATGGCAGACACCGTCTCCTCCTGACACCTACCATAATCAATAGCTTCGGCCAATGTCCCAGGTTTGAGAGCTCTTACGAATGCCTTAAGGTGAGGTTTGAGTCCCCCTATAAAACTGTCCAAAAAATGATCACCTGGCAGCAGAGGATTTTTTTGCAGTAAACAAGCCCTCAACTCCTCAAATCTGTCTATATAATCCTCTAGATTTCCCATCTGCTGTAACTTATTGAATTCCTCCACTATTTTTGATCCCAATTCATCTTTGAACCTGGTGCTAACATCTACCACAAAGTCTTCCCAAGCAATATTGGCCCTCCCTATTGTGTAACTATGATACCACACTTCAGCTTTTCCAATCATATATAGGGAGGCTAGATCTACCTTCTTCTCATCCGGAATTTGGCACAACATAAAGTATTTCACACATTTCTTAATCCAAGTTCTCACGTTAGATCCGTCAAATTGGGGGAATTCTACCTTGGGATTAAAGTGGAGCTGTCTGTGATTTGAAGCGTCCCTCCTTCTCGAGTGATCCAGATCGCTCTCTGGGTGCGATGACTCTCTACTTGTGATCGATTTAATTTGCTCCATCATCTGACTGAACATTTGTTGTTGATCATCAATCCGCCTATTTTGATCCTCCATCTGGCGCGAGAACAGCTTCTGCTGATCGATCAAAGCTTTGAGCGCTTCATCCAGTGTTGCCATCTTGCTCCTTGTTAACGCCAGGCCTCCGGTCCAGGATCAGAGCTCTGATACCAATGTTGCAGGCGAGGAGACCTCTCGGATTGAGAAGAGGGTCTCGAGGCTGTTACAACAATTAGAGAGAGAGAGAGAGAAAGCTAACAGAGAATAGATTAGGTAATAAATTTTCTATTTCATCTCCAAATCCTCCATCAACATATATATCGGGTCTCATATTAAGTGATTATACATAAACAAGAAATAAGAAAACAATAACTAGTATAAATGGGCCGTGTAATGGCCCATGGGCTAACACCCGTAACATTTAGGTTAACATTAAATAATTTCCTTTGCTCTGTAGTTTTTTGGAGGTAGATGTTTTCCTTTTTTTCTCCTCTATATCTTTTTGTTTGGATGTAGGGCTTGATGTGGCCTATATGCTATATGTGAATTTCTCTTATCATTCCTCTGTGTTTTTTGGTGTCTTTTCAGAAAGGAAGTCTGTGGTTTTGAGATTCTCTGAAGAAAATATGTCTTGGGGAAGATCTCCATATTCACTTGATGATGATAGAAATATGGGTTCTCGTTTTCCTTCTTGTAAATCCAGTTTGCACTTGAAGGGTAAGTTTCCAAACGACAAAAATGTATCTCGCAAAAGGCCGAATGATAGTAATGCTGGAAAAAATAAACTTGTTCCAAAGAAAAGAGCTTCTGGTTTAGGCGACGAAGTGAACTCTTTGTCTGGTATGCATTCCTGGGATGCTTTGCTGCAGAAGAGAGGCACTGTCCAAGAAGCAAAGCATGCCGATGATGGCAAAGGTATGCCAACACAGAAGAAAGGTTTTTCTCCGGGCGAGTGTTTGAATTCTCATTCAAGCTGGCCTTCTTGGAACTCCTGTCTGCAAATGGACAGAAGTGCTGATGAAGCCACAAATTCCGCATCAGATGCCTGCCAAAATTCTCGTTCTGCTGTGCAGTCTTGGAACTCCTGGCTGCAAAACAGATGGGGTGCAGAACATTCTAAAGATTCATCTCAGAAAAGGGTTTCCAGATCAGGCGATCGCGGTGGATCACATTACAATAAGCCTCCATTGAAATCCAGACTGGGAAAGAGAATTGATTGTGAAGAAGATAAAGCATTAGGTGATGGAGGTTACAAATCTAGCAACAGGACTTCTATATGGGTTTCTCCAGGATCACAAGTGAAAACTTCTGATAGAGTGACCAAGGATGTTTCTTGGAAAAGATCAAACAATTCTTCTGATCGCTTGCAAGTTCCTTCCAATAGGCTTGCTTGGGAATCTGAGTTACGAATAAGAAATAATGCTGAAGGATTAAAAAGCACTTTTGAAAAAACCACATCTAAAGTTATTAAGAGTCTAAAAAAGAATGACTCGACTAGAGACAGAACTCACAGGAGGGAAGAAAGCTCAGCAGATAATGCAAGACCTGACAGAAGCAGAAGTAATCTGAAAAACTCTTGCTCCGGATCGGAAGACATGTCTGATACCAAAGCATGTACTCCAAAATCCCTTCAAGAGAGGAGTAACAGTCGCGATGAAGCTAATGATGGACTATTGCAAGGAGGCAATTCAATTCCTGCTGCTGAATCTCCTTCTGAATTGCCTTCTCAAAATTCTGATGTACAAAAAATAAATGATAATAAAGAAGTCACGCATGGATGTAGAAAAGAAGCAGCCGTCCATCCATCTATTCTGCCCTCAAGANTGACGATGAGAGACTGTCTCTTGGGATGGCTTCTTTGGAACCCAGAACCACAGTAGAAACCAATGGTTCCTCAGATGGACCTCTAGAACTGACTAAATCTGGTTGGGCTGCACCTGAATGGAAATGCACCGAGCAAACACAGAGCAACCCAATAAAAAGAAATGACACTTCTGCTGAGAGAGCCATCAGTTTAATTGAATCTGCAGGGTTTCCTTCTACTAGGGCTTCTGTAGAAGTGGAAATGGTGCACAAAGGGGATGACCAAGCAAACAAAAGATCTGATGAGAAAATACCCAACATAATTGAGAGTGCTGAGTTGGGTTCTAGTTGGCATTCTGATGAACACAACATTCAAAGAAGAAGCAATATTGGAGATTCTAATGTTAGTCACACCACCACACTGCAATCTATTTTGCATTCTCCAAACATGCAAAGAAGCGTTTCTGAAGAACCAAAGGTTGTGGCTGATGAATTGCATCTTCAAGAAGAAGGCAATGCGGGAGAACCAAATGCTAGAGCTGATGATATGAAACTCAATGAAATTAAAGATGCTGTATTTCCACCAGTAGGGTCCTGTGTGAAACCAACTCTGCGAAGTAGCATATCTGTTGAAGATGTCAATGTTTTAGCAAGGGAAGAAGCACCCAATTCTGTTCATGATAAAGACACTAGAGACACACATGGAGAAAAGATATTTACCTCATTTGATGGCTCCAAATTTCCTCATAGCAAACCAGTTTTGGAGTTGGGGGTTGAGGGGGATATAGAGGAACATGTTATAGTTAGGGTTGAAGGAAGGTTTAGTGTTCACATCTATAAATCAAGCAATCAAGATCTAGATATGGTTGGTGGGCTAGAGACAATGGTTGCTGATTCTGCTTGCACTAAACATCCAAATTCACATACTACCACCAATTCTACCACTGTCTTGCCTAAACATTCGGTGTCTCGCGAGATGCAGAAAAATAATCTCAACATGTTCCATGGCAGTATTGTGTGTCCTCAAAATTGTCCCACAAAGAAATGTATCTGGAAGGGGAACTTTGAGATTACTGATATTGCTTCAGTTGTCAGAGTCTTTGAAGGGTTCTCTGCTCATCCATCAATTAAAGTTTGTCGTAGAGCTTACAACTTCTCAAAGAAGATGCCTTCAACGCTGGAATTCCTCGTGCATCCTCGAACTAAATACTGGCCCACGATTTTTGAGGATTGTCCCGATACAAACGATATTGCTTTGTACTTTTACCCGAAGAACAAGCAGGCCACACATGGTTACACTTCACTGTTAAAGTTCATTGACAGCAAGGATTTGATGCTGAGGAGTCAGATGAGTGGTGATGTTGAGCTCCTTCTTTTCCCCTCCAGAGTGTTAGATGTGAAATGCCAGACAATAAAAAACAGTTACTTTCTCTGGGGAGTCTTTTGCACTAAAAGAAAATGAAGGATTGGATGAATATATGCTATATCCATAATTAGAGGAGACACAATTTCTACGTTGATTTTAGTATCAAACATTTAAAGCTATGAAGATGACCAGTCAGAATGAACACAACTGATTATTGTATTGGACGGGTAATAGAATTTATACTCCGTATTAGTTAGAAAATAAGTTTTTTTCCTAACTAATATAAATTCTATTACCCATTTATGTAGGGAGAACTATCACTTGAGTTATAACTTCATTAGACATAGTTAAATATATTTATTTTATATTTTGCCTCTTAGAGTCTTAGACAACGCAAACGATTAATGTGTCTATATTTGACATTTTAACAATACCTGCCCTTTTAATAAAGTATTTTTATTTCCTCCTTAACACTTAGACCTAGCAAAAATTAACCCGACTTGTTTTTGACCCGAAACCCGACCTGAAAACATTGGGTTTTGAACAAAGGTTTTGATGACTGAACCCGAAGTTAACCGAATCCGAAATAACCTGCTAACAATAGGTCAAACCTGATCGAACCCGACCTGACCAACCCGCTAAAGTAAGAATTTTTCAAAATCATACACTTTATTACTCGTTTTTAGTGTATAAATTTATATCTTACTTTTTTCCAAAACTTAAGCATTTTTAAATGCCTTATATTGATTTATTTATCTAAAAATTATTTCAGAGTTTAAAACAAAATAATTTTATAGATTTAAAACCTTTTTTTGATATTTTAAATTTATTTAATAGAAAATGTAAGTGTTATTGCGAATATAAAAATTTAAAAAAACAAAATCATAACCCGTTGGGTCGACCTGAACCCAATGACACTGGGTCATGAACATACAATTCTCAACCCGAAACCGAAGTGACCCGAACCTAAAATAACCCGAGCTTGAAGTGACTGAACTCGAACCCGAACTGACCGACCGATTTGCCAGCTCTACTAGTAACACTCTGATTGCAGACGACCATTTTGGTTATCAATAAATCTGCCACTTAATCTTTAGGGGCACTTCAATGTATTTTTAACTTGAATTCCACTTACATATTTAGCATCTTTATCAAAGAGAGCTTTATGTCATTATGTGGAATTTCTATGGAATTTACTTTTGTACATTACCCCGTATTGTTTTGTTAACTAGTGTCACACTCGTGTGATTGATCCAACCCTTATGGCAAACTCGGACTGGTTCCCATTGTTCTGGTTATTCCTAGCATTTAGAGGTACGTTGGGCTGACTAGCACTCTAGTGAGGCATAAAGCTGGATTCCTCTGTTTGGGAGTCATCTTGCTCGTTGCCAAGCTGCTGGGTGTTGTCGTGAGTCGATGCGTCACTCATTCTAAATTTTACACATAAGTTCCTAGTCAGTCAATAACACAAAAAAATAAAGCTATAAACTTATTATCTTCACGGGGCTAATCAGTCGCAAGAGATCTGGTGCAGCCTTTTGGAAATCATCTGTTTGTGATCCGAAGATCGGTTTTAAAACCATATGCTTCGATACCAAAATGTAACACCCCGACCCGCATAACCCAAGTACACAGATTAACGAACCGAGTTACTACTAAATTGGTACCCAAACACAACTTAATATTCAAAAGAATTCAAAGTAATACTTCAAAATATAATTTAACATCCATCGGAGTAACAATCAAAATGTTTGCGGAAGCTTAAGTCATTAATCAAAACACAACTTGCGAATCATGCCCGTAAAAGTAATAAGTTATTTAAATAATAAACAGTAATTCAAAATCATCAAGGCACATCTCCTCATCCTCATCGCCCTCTAGGATTGGCTTTAAGTTCCTCATTCTCTAGATTACCTACGTGCAGCAAAAGAACAAATGATATGCTCTCAGCATTGAAGTTAAGTGAGAAAACTCTAATATACAGTTATAGACATAGACGATCTTACTAGCTCATATCATCATACTATATCACGCACATAGAACATTCACAATAATATCACAACAGCTCATAAGATATAACTACCCAATAATAAAAATGTAAAGTTCTCATTACTGACACAATTTACTTTCGCTCTTATACCTGTCTTTAACTTCAGTAATCTGAACTTTCCTATGGGAGTCATGACCTTCCCCTTTGAAACGGAGGTCAAGCTCAAATTCAATTCAAGAGTTCCTCGTTGCATGTGTGAGATTCGTGTCCCCTTCAGAACGAAAATTCATAGATCCCCGTGCACACGTTTTTAGCCAGATAGTCATTGGACCCAGTAGGTACCACATAGCTCTAACTTACTTTACTTATGTCATACCTTGCCACTTATCCATTCAAGTCAGTCCCTACAGTTCTTCTAGGTGTTATGTCCAATATTCATTAAGAATTCATAATACAACATTCTAAACCAACAATGCATAATCAACATATCCAACATAATCGTAAAGCTGCCTAACACTGGTGTAAGCACCCATGTTTATCGCCATACAACACACAAGTCTCGGAATCAATCCTCGATGAAACACATATGAACGAACCCAATTCAAGTACCTTACGGTACCCTTAATGGTATGGGGTACCGACCCCACAGTACTTAGGTACCATCCCCACGGTATGGGGATACCGACCGAAGTAGTAGCTGTACTCTTCTAGCAGGTTTGTCACAATAGTCATTACCGACCCGGCGGTAGGCCTACCGCCTGCCCGGTGCCTAGGTACAAAATAGTCAGAGGTACTGGCAGATGAGGGTGGAAAGGGAGAGGGTGGCGGTAGCACGGTACCGTGCCATCAGTACCGTCTTACCGTCAGACGTTCAGATTCTGCACTGCTCCGTTCTTTCACATCAAAGAACATCAATTTCATAACAATAAACATCAATATGTTCATATTAGCAGTCAAAACATTAACCAACATCATTCTAATCTTACGTATTCTGATTCATGCCTTTTAAATTACAAAACGACGTAACAACAACACATAAATCATGTAGGGCTTCACATAAGTCAACGGTAGTGATTCTACGAACGTAAGATTCAAACCTACAAATAGACATATACGTTATATGTCTAGGTACTCACCTTGATTACGAAAAATAGAATTACAAGGATAATACCAATGATAAGGAATCATACAATGATGAAATTCTCTTCTTCCTCTTCAATTCGTTCTTCTTCTTTCCTTCTTCTTCTTTCCTCTTCTTCCAGCTACTGCACTATTGTTCTGTTGGGCAGTTTATGATCGAGGGAGAGTAGCGAGAGAGAGAGAGAGAGAGAGTTTACGTGAGGGGGTTACGTAAAATATGGGGAGTGGCGTATAAGGTTTAGGGCGTGTAGGGGTGTATATATACGTTTGGGGTTTGGGGCTCTGTAATTAATTAACGTACCTGGTGTAAAACGTACTTTTCGGGCCCACGAGCTCCAAATCCAAATCTGTTTGCACCATTGCATTTGTTCCGTTGAACTCTACACAACGATATAAACTTTTTTTTCAAACAAAGAATATTCCAAAATTACACCAAGTCCGTTTCAATAATTTATTAATTATTTTATTTAATTAATCTTGATAGGCCGGATTTCTGGCATTACATACTGTCATGCATCAAATAAAGTTCTTGAATCCATCAAAATATCATATTTAGTTGGTAAATGATATTCATACTGATTTATAATTGAACGGTATCAAAAATAAGATTTTACAAGTCAAAAATCAGGTTTATAGGAAAAACTTTCAGGTCAAAAGGTACGCGTCCCCGAACTATGGTACTGTCACGGTACCTCAGTATTGTCCAGACGGTATAGGGTACCAACTGGTGTGAGGTACCGCCAGAAAAATTTGTCTTCTGAGGGTTGCTAGCTATCGTCCGGGCGGTATCTCACTACTGGTTGGGCGGTATCAAGGTATCGTGTCTGTGGGAGATTTGTACAGTGTCATCTTCAACCTTGGTCCAAACTTCCAAAGCATCATTTTAAGCTTCTAAACTTCATTTTAACTTTATAAAATTATTCTCTAACATCCATAGAACATTTTTAAATAATTTATTTGAAGCTTTAACAACAAAGACAAGTTTGGTGATAATGAATACAAAAATATTTCTTTTTTCAAATATATACAAATCAATATGTTCAAGGATCTTTCCACGCCTTCTAAAAGCATTCCATTACTACCAACCAAAATAAATACGACCTCTCTGAGATATACGGTTTATGCCGGAAAGGTACGAAGTTGGACTAATTTGGAAACATTGGGCAATTTACTTTATACCTACTATTTCGTCTGGTTTTTGGTTTCTAGTCTGATTTTATTAGTAGCCATGATTGGGGCTATAGTACTGACTATGCATAGGACTACTAAGGCTCTTTCCAGGGAATAAACCCTCGGGGTTTTAGAAGGTTTCTGATTCTCCCATAGAAGAAATGAATCTACTAAATAGATATATATCTATGGAATGCAATACTTGACTTCTGACTGAAGACCGAAGATCCAGCTTTAAGTAAAGTAAGCTTTCTAAGCTTCATGCTTGCATGTGTTAAGCATATAGCCAATTTCTTCTTAGCGTTTAGCTACTGCGTAAAGCCCGGCCCGCGCGCGGTTAGGAAGATTGGCCGCAATCTGAAAAGATCGTTTCGGTACCACCCACCCTACCCTACCACCTATAGGCGGCCGTCCATCCTACAGCCGCCCGAAAAGGAACTGCAGTGATCTTGAATAGGAATCCTACAGCGATAAATAGAATCCCCATAAAAATACCACTAGATCGAGCACCAGTGATTTCGTATCCGGTCAAAATCTTGGCTAATTGATCGAAGTGGGTAGCTCCAGTAGACCCATAGATCATGGAACAAATAGGGTGGGTAGGCCAGACGCGAACCCCCCTCGTTAGCCATGAGCTCCATCACACACCAGCTTGGACGTAGCTCGCCACCTGGAGAGCTTCAATACGGCAACTCCCGCGGGCCTGGGTGCTGACCCTTCTTTTATAATGTTTTATAACAGCTCTCCATGCAAGCTATTCTAGAAAGTCTTCAGTGGAGGATAAGTAGCACTAGGCAAGTAACTTGTTTGAACTAGTTGATATCACAGATTACTCAAGGTTGTACGAGCTCTAATAGTAGTTTGTTTAAAATCATGGTATAAACATGGAAACCGACGAGATAAGTCTCAATGAAGAACGGGAGTGGAAGCAACGTCATGAAATCCCAAAACTTGTCACTTCCCGTCACCATTGTACCAGCTCTTGTATTTGGGCCATATCTCCTTCGTTACTCAACGGAATCGCAAAGTGCTTGAAGCTACGGATTCGTAAGACATAAGACTACAACTTTTATGAAGAAACTAGATTAAAATAAAAAAACTTTAGAGGGTGTAAACATGAACACAAGTGGATTGATTTGCATAGAGGTTGTTTTCTTCATTTCAACTTTTCTGGGCAACTTCCGACAAGAACCGTGGCTACCTCCGACGATTTCGATAGCGGTGAACTATGGCGGCTTGATCCCTCACAACAAGAAAAAAATTTTGTAACGCCCACCGGTGTAGAAATTTTAACTTTCTAGTACAAACAAATGAAAAAAAATTTAAAAAAAAAAGAAAAATAAAAATAAAAGTATACAAAAAGTAATAATAATAATAATAATAATAATAATAATAATAATAATAAAATTCATATTTAAAAAAATAATATGTTACTATTCTTTGGGAAAAAAATATTTAAAAAAAAGAACAAATTAGAAGTTAAGCTTTAATGATTGATTTAATAGAGAGGATAAATGAAGGGAGTAGAGTGAACTTTGATCATCTCTACTACCTAAATAAAATTATTCTGATAAAGTAAACTTGTTTTCTTGATGAACAGGTTATGCTAAAATAATGTATGGAAAATATGGAACTTAATAGTATAAGTTTTTTTATTTTTCTAAAAATATTTGGAAACTGAAATAGTGGAAATCAAACACGTAATACTAACCAAACGGAGTAGGAAAACTTTCAGTTTTCCCCTTGCTACTCACGCCAAAGAGAGAAAATTTTTTTGTAACTCTTTCATTCAATTCATCACATTTAATAGAGTAGTGAATTATTTTATTATAATTAAAAAAATATTTATTAATTTAATTAAGACTATTCATTACCCTTTCCTTTCACTTCTAGAATCCTCTCTTCTCCCTATAAATAGGGTCTCTTAGGAAGAGAAACCTATGACCACTTGAGAGAAAGAAAAAAATAAAGATTGAGAGTGTGTGAGTTTGTAACAAAAAAGGAGTTTGCGGCATTGTCGTGGGAGATTGAGAGACATGAGAGTTGTCGTTACGGAATCCCGTCAACGTTGTCAAGCTATCCTTTTGTTTGAATTGACACTGAAGGTGTGCCGTTGATCCTAACCTTTAGATATATATTTCATGTTCGTATATTTGTGTGCATAACTTTTTATATAATCTAAATCTTTCGTCAATTCTTAAACTATAAAAATGCTTGATTATGGAAATATATATACTGTGTATATGTTGGGTTCCTTCCTTAATTGGAGAGATTCTAGAAACTTTCAGAGCTCTCTAGAGAAGTCAAGAATTTTCTAGAACAGTCCGGAGAACTCTAGAAATGTGCAGAACTCTCTAGAAACTTATGGAAGATTATGGAAGAGTGTGGAAGCCTCCGGAATATTCTAGAGAAGTGTGAAGCCTTCTAGAACCTTGGTGGTCCCAAAGTGGTGAGATACAAATTAAAGTCTAGAGGGGGGGGGGGGGAATAGACTTTGTTACAAATTTAAAAACTTTTTCGTTTCTTTTGAAAACGTGAAAATGAGTGGTAATATAGAGTTCTTGTGAACTTTAGATTGTGTGCGGAAGATGGTGGATTAATAGAGCAGTAATCAATATGGATGGGTTAGTTTCACAGTTAATATAATTGCAAGTATGAGTAAAGATAAAAGAGAGAGACACGCAAACTTTAACGAGGTTCGAAGGTGGGGTAATCCTTCTACGTCCTCAAAATCCACTATGTAGTTGGTTGTTGAATAATGAACCAACAATTACACTTGTGTGAATTTCTGCACGGTATATCTTCGCAAGGCCAATGTTGCTACTGCACTCGTGCTGGCTTTGTTGTTCCTTCGAAGGTCANGAGCAGTAATCAATATGGATGGGTTAGTTTCACAGTTAATATAATTGCAAGTATGAGTAAAGATAAAAGAGAGAGACACGCAAACTTTAACGAGGTTCGAAGGTGGGGTAATCCTTCTACGTCCTCAAAATCCACTATGTAGTTGGTTGTTGAATAATGAACCAACAATTACACTTGTGTGAATTTCTGCACGGTATATCTTCGCAAGTCCAATGTTGCTACTGCACACGTGCTGGCTTTGTTGTTCCTTCGAAGGTCATGCTTCTTCAACAACTGCAAGATCCGAACAATAGGACTTGCAAGATCAACTTGTAAGAAAGTTGATGTACCCCCTTTTTAATCAAGAAGTTTGATTAAAAGTTGTATCCTTCAACGTGGTGTGGTACTTGAGGCAAGGAAACCTTCAAGTGTTTACACTATAGCTCTTTGGAAGGAGGAGAAGTTTGCTTCTGGATAAGGAGTTTAGAAATCTCTCTTTATCAAGATTTTTGGCTAACTGTGGATGAGATAGCTTTGTTCTTGTTGTTGATGATTGATCAGTTGTGTTCTATGTTATCTCTTGTATTTCAATTCTCCAGTCTTCCATGGGAGCTTTATATATATAGCTGGATTGGATAATCTATCCTTTGAATCAAAATAGACTATCCGTTGCATTTGCTGGCTTCAATTTTGAACGAAGAGTGAGACTGAGGATTCTTCATTGGAATGGGTGTTTTGTCATACCCAATTGTTTGAGGAGGGATTTCTTTTTCCATAGAATCCGTCTTCTAGTTGTTGTTCAATAATTCTGGACTTTAGCTCTTTATTGAGTGGAGTACTCAATTTGTCTTCTAGTGCTTGTTTAGGAATTCTAGGCGAGCTCTTCAATTTGAGAAGTCCAGACTTTGTCTTCAAGTCATTTGTTCTTGAATCAGCTTAATTATCCCCAATCTAGCCATTGAAAATCAAGAGATTGATTTTTCCTTACCAACGGGTAGAATTTCTTCATTCAAGACTTAGATAATTTTCTAAGTCTTTTCTCACTTGTTTGCTTCTAAGAATTCTGGTCTTTCTTGAGGCATCTGGTTCTTCGCTGACAATTCCGGAAAAGCCATTCATAGACTTCCAAGTGAGAAAGAGATCCGCGCTAGTCTTCCGATCTTGATGACTTAGCCTTCAGCGGGTTGTTGCGAGACATCCGGTTATCATGTAGTGTTCTGGATTAAAGAATCTTCAAAGTAATCAATTGCTTTGAGAATTCCTTACTTGTCTCTGACATTTCCGATAAAGATATCCAATTTTTATATCACTGAATTTGATTAAGTCGTCAAAGATTGACATCAAACCATAAAGTGAAATATCACAACTTTATTGGAAATCTCAAGAACTTGGTTTTAACAATATTTTTAAAAATAAAAATTACATTGAGTATTGGGGGAGACCTAAAGTCCCTATTACAATCTAAATACATCATCATCAAAATCTATAATATTTTTCCAAACAAACCTTATGGAAGGTTATAGAAGATGATGGAAGTGTATGGAGATAAGAAACTTCTAGAGATGTTGAAGTTTCTAGAACCCTAAAACTACACATAGAGGAGTACTATAAATAGGGAGAATCCCCTTCACTTCCAACTATCAAAAGTGAAGAAAATAATCCACTTGTAAAGTGAGAAGTCTCTTGGAGAGTGAGAGTGTAAAACTTGGGAATTCCTAACCCTCAAGCTTGAGTGAGCCACCATAGTGTGAGTCAAACTTGTAAACATATTCTTGTAATCCTACTATTCTTTTATATAGTGGAAGAATCTCCATTTTTTGGAGAATTATAAACTCTTGTTCTCTTACTACTACATTGATTCTTAATTGCCTATCTTAACTTCACGAAGTGGGAAAGATCGAGCATTTCCCAACAGTGGTATTAGAGCCTAGTTCACTTGAAACCGTCATTAGCTCGTGCAGTTCAAGATGGAGGACAACGTCACTCATGATGGAGACATGTTCAAGCTCACAGCCAACAACTACTCATATTGGAAACCAATGATAGAAGACCATCTATACTGCAAGGATTTGCATGAGCCCATCATCTATAAAGACAAGGTTGAAGGCAAGAGCGATGCTCAATGGGAGTTACTCAATCGCAAGGCCATTGCAATGATCCGTAAGTACATTGATAAGACTCTTTTCGAGCATGTTTCTACATACACAAATGCTTATGAGTTATGGACAAAGCTTGAGTCCATGATTCAAAAGAAAACGCCTCGTAACAAAGCCAATTTAGTTCGACGGTTGGTGAAACTAGAGTATAAGGATGGCCAAAGTATGATTGAGCACTTGAACAACTTCAAGGGGCTCGTAAATCAGTTAACAAAAGTTGATATGAAGATTGATGATGAGTTGCAATCCCTTCTACTCCTTAGTTCCTTGCCGGAAAGCTGGGATACACTTTTGGTTACCCTTAGTAACTCAGCTCCTGAAGGAAAGCTCACCATGGATATCGTCAGTGATAGCCCTCTTGGAGAAGAAGCAAGAAGAATTGAATGAGGCGAGCCCACCTATTCCGTGGCCAATATGATTGAGAAGCAGAGTAGGTATGAAACTCGAGGGCGTAGCAAGAGTCGAGATCCACATCAATCTAAAGGTAGATCCAAGTCACGCTCGAAGATTACTTGCTACTACTGTGGAAAGGTAGGCCACAAGAAAACTGAATGTCGATCCCTAAAGAGAGATCAAAAGGCAAGTAACATCAAGCCACACTAGATCAGCCCAACGAAGAAGCAAGAAGAGAAGAGTACTACAGCTGTAGTATCAAGAGAAGATCTGCTCTATTTCGTTGGAGAAGGTAATATCCTAAACATAGCTTGTAATGAAAGCTCTTGGATTATAGACTCTGGTGCTTCCTTCCATGTTACTCCACATAGAAGTTTCTTCTCATCCTACCAAAGTGGTGACTTTGGTACGGTGCAAATGGGAAATCAAGATAGGAGCAACATCGTCGGGAAAGGAGACATCATCTTGGAAACAAGTACTGGATGCAACCTTGTATTAAAAGATGTGAGACATGTCCCGGCTATGCGCCTGAATCTTATCTCCGCTGGAAAACTAGACGATGTCGGTCTAGTGAATTACTTTGGTGAAGGAAAGTGGAAGCTCACCAAAGGAAGTTTAACTATGGCTCGAGGAAAGAAGGAAGGATCATTGTACGTGATGCAAGCCAAGCTCTGCAAAGGCGAGATAAATATTACTTATGATGATATGGAGGTATGGCATAAAAGACTTGGGCACATTAGTGAGAAAGGTCTTCACATGCTCGCTCGAAAAGATCTCCTCTCTGATGTAAAAGGTAAACAACTTGATCCTTGTGCTCATTGTCTAGCTAAAAAACAACATAGAGTTGCCTTCCAAAGATCCTTTCCACCCACAAGGAGAAAGAACACCCTTGACCTCGTACACACCGATGTGTGCTCGATGTCAGAGAGATCCAATGGTGGTGCATTACATTTTGTCACCTTCATTGATGACCACTCAAGAAAGGTATGATTATATCTACTAAAGACCAAGGATCGAGTACTTGATGCATTCAAGGAATTCCATGCTCTAGTAGAACGTGAGACTGGACGGAAGATCAAGTGTGTACGGTCTAATAATGGAGGGGAGTATAGAGGTCCTTATGAAGCCTATTGCAAGAAATATGGCATTCGGTTGGAGAAGACTCTACCTAAGACACCACAATTGAATGGGCTAGCAGAGAGAATGAATCGAACTATTGAAGAACGAGTTTGATGCGTGCTCTCTCATGCAAAGTTACCCAAATCATTGGGGAGAGGTGTGATGAATGTGGTTGATGTTGTAAACCTCACACCATCAGTTCCTTTGGAAGGGGCCATCCTAGAGGAAGTTTGGACAGGCAAAAGGGCTTCATATAAACAACTCAAGGTGTTCGGATGCAGAGCATTCGTTCACATTCTGAAAGATGAGCAAGCTAAGCATGATGCAAAGACAAAGGAGTGCATCTACCTTCGTTCACCGAAGGATGAATATGGGTACCGACTTTGGGATCCATTCAACAGAAAGGTTGTTTGTAATAGGGATGTTGTATTCTTCGAAGACCAAACAATTGAAGACATTAAAAATTTAGAGAGGCCAAGATTGAGATGTAGCAAGAGTGCCGATCTCACTCTAGCTCGAAGTGAAGACAGTGAAACTCAAGAAATGAATGATGCTAAAGATCACGAGCCTATGTTAGAACAAAGAAACCAGGAGAGTCGTGATGAACAAGCACATGAAGAACCTCAATCTAGCTCTCTCACAGCACTAGAGCCAAGACGATCCACGAGAGAGAGAAGACCATCCACTCGTTATAATACAAACGAGTACATTATGCTCACTGATGAGGGGGGGCACAAAGCTATAAAGAAGCAATAATGATGAACATAATGAAGAGTGGAAAAGAGCCATGCAAGAATAAATACAATCCTTGCATGAGAATCATACCTACGAGTTAGTGAAGCTACCAAAAGGGAGAAGAGCCTTGAAGAACAAATGGGTATTTCGAATAAAGAACGAAGACAACAGCTCAAAACCTCGCTACAAAGCTCGGTTGGTCGTCAAAGGATTCGTGCAAGAAAAAGGTATTGATTTTGAAGAAATATTCTCTCCCGTGGTAAAGATGTCATCCGTCCGAGTTGTTCTTGGGCTAGCAGTAGTGCAAGACTTGGAGATTGAACAACTCGATGTCAAGACGGCATTCCTTCATGGTGATTTGGAGGAAGAGATCTAGATGGAGCAGTCTGAGGGATTCAAAGTTCCAGGTAATGAGAACCTAGTATGTCGACTCACAAAGAGTCCTTATGGCCTTAAGCAAGCACCAAGGTAGTGGTACAAGAAATTCGACTCTTTTATGGCAGAGCATGATTTCAAAAAGACAGAAAGCGATCATTGTGTTTTTGTTAAGAGGTATGAAAATGGTGACTTTCTCATACTTCTACTCTATGTTGATGATATGTTGATTGTTGGACAAGATTGCATAAAGATAGCTGCTTTGAAGAAAGATCTAAGCAAGAGCTTCGCCATGAAAGATTCGGGGCCAGTTAAACAAATCCTTGGGATGAGTATAATTCGTGATAGGTCGAAAAGACTGCTATGGTTATCCCGAGAGAGGTATGTTGAGAAGGTGTTAGAAAGGTTCAACATGCACAAATCAAAACCGGTTAACACCCCACTTGCTGGACACTTCAAGCTAAGTTCGAAACAAAGTTCCACAAGTGAAAAAGGCATAGAGGATATGAAGAAAATGCCTTATACATCTGCAGTAGGCAGTCTCATGTATGCAATGATATGCACAAGACTAGATATCGCCTACGCAGTTGGTGTTGTTAGTCGCTTATTGGCCAACCCAAGGACTGTGCATTGGAGTCTTGTTAAATGGATCCTTCGATGTCTACGTGGAACTTCCAAAAGGTGTCTATGCACAAATGCAGACTTGGCCGGTGATATCGATTCACGAAAATCAACATCGGGATACCTAACTACCTTCGCAGGGGGAGCTGTTTCATGGCAATCAAAGCTACAAAAGTGCGTTGCATTATCCACTACCGAGGCAGAGTACATCGCAGCTACAGAAGCATGCAAGGAAATGTTATGGATGAAAAATTTGATACATGAGTTTGGTATTGATAAAGAAAAGTATATCCTAAAGTGCGATAATCAAAGTGCAATTTATTTGGCAAAGAACTCAACGTTTCACTCTCGCACAAAGCACATTGACATAAGGTATCATTGGATCCGTGAAGTCCCTTGAAGAAAAGAAAATACATCTTGACAAGGTTCACACAGATGACAACTGGTCAGACATGATGACCAAAGTAATATCAACAAAGAAGTTCGAAGATTGCTGTCAAGGTGCCGGTTTGCAACTACCCCCCAATTAAGTCAGGAGGGGGAGATTTTTTGGGTTCCTTCCTTAATTGGAGAGATTCTAGAAACTTCCAGAGCTCTCTAGAGAAGTCAAGAATTTTCTAGAACGTTCCGAAGAACTCTAGAAATGTGTACAACTCTCTAGAAGCTCGTGGAAGATTGTGGAAGAGTGTGGAAGCCTCCGGAATATTCTAGAGAAGTGCGAAGCCTTCTAGAACCTTATGTAAGGTTATAGAAGATGATGGAAGTGTATGGAGATTAGAAACTTCTAGAGATATTGAAGTTTCTAGAACCCTAAAACTACCCATGGAGGAGTACTATAAATAGGGATAATCCCCTTCACTTCCAACTATCAAAAGTGAAGAAAACAATCCACTTGTAAAGTGAGAAGTCTCTTAGAGAGTGAGAGTGTAAAGCTTGGGATGTCCTAACCCTCAAGCTTGAGTGAGCCACCATAGTGTGAGTCAATCTTGTCACTACGTCAAAAACAGAGGCTGACAACTGTTTATTTTAGTAGTCTATAATTGATGTTTTAAGTAGTCTTCCGAGCAACTGTCTGATGGGATGTTAGACCTCGGTTTAGAACAATTGTGCAAATCAAAATCTGACAACGGTGTTTTGTAGCCTAACACAACTTTGAACATTTGTTGTCTGCTCGCGATTGAGTCTACGATTTTGGATATACTCAGACAGCAGTTTTATTGTGTTGTATATAGAATTTCAGACAACTACTTAAAAACAACTGTCTTAATTAATTGTATATAGACTATTACGACAATGGTTTATTGTAGTTGGAATTGATGCGGTTACACTATGTTTTCCAGGTGTAGTCTAATGTTCTATTAGACAGCTGCTCGGAAGACTACTATAAGTCATTCCATCAAACCTCTGCTACCTACTGTTGTATGTACAACGTTGAGACTATTTCTTTGGTCTTACCTTAAACAAATTTTTTTTTTGGTTGTATGCCGTCTATTAACACTCCAGTTTATGTTCGTTGTCCTTTAAACATTGACACTATACTTCCAAACAGTAGTTGAATCTGCTACCAGACAGCTGCTCGGAAGACCACTATAAGTATTTGCTTCAAACAACTATTACGTTGGGTTGTATGCATAATGTTCAGACTATTATTTTGGTCTTATCTTAAACAACTATTTGTTTTAGTTGTACAACATCTATAAACAATACTGTTTTGGATCGTTGTCGTACCACCCATTCAAACAATATTTTGGGACAGTAGTCGAAATTGTTATCAGACAGCTGCTTGTAACACCACTGAAAACATTAGCATTAGAGAACTGTTCTTTTTTGTGGTATATCTAAAACTAAGAATACGATTATGTTTCATTTCACACAATTACAAGTACCAGATGTCTAGCAGGTATTACCTCTACTAGTTTATATAGTTGTCCGTAAAATTTTTGTAATATCAAATTAACAGTAGTAAGGCTGCTTGTCAGTCAAGCGTTTATTTGTGTTGCCTATCATAATCAGATGCTTCTGTTTTATGGCGTTGTGTTGCAGATATTCACACTATTGACATTTGGTGTGTTGCCTCAACCATTCAGAGTACTGTATTTGGTGGATAACCATGTTTTTTGCATTCTAATACAGTGGTCGTTCAATAATTCATACAACAGAAAGACTGATCAAGAAAAGAAATATAAATTCCCAATACATCATTCAACAATCTAACACAATAAAACATACAACCAAAGTCCAGGGGTAGAACCATTCAAATGGCATTATGACTCATAAAATACTTCGCAAATTCAACCTTTGTTTGATTGATGTCATCCTCGGTGTATTCCAGATTTCCCCGACGCGCCCACTGAAAATCGTAGGAAAAAACCAAATATCTAATAAGCCAACCATAGAAGTGATGAAGTAAATATAGGATGCAACACATAAGAACAGATTTGTATGAAGGCATTATCCGTGATGACTAACACTAAAGAACTGACCAATAATTAATACTCAAACCTTCACTTGCATTGAGTAGTACACATTATTAGTGAACTAGAAGAGGCTCTACTTAATGTTAATTAAAGTCTCTCCTGATTAAAAACACCAGAACTGTACACAAAATTAAAAAAACTCTGTACAGCGCTATCTTAAATTAGCTTCAAATTAAATCTGTGTACAGAGCATGTAGCAGAACTTGCATTTATCCAGAAATTCAAACTAAAAAACACACTCCTAAATGATACACGGATGCAAAGAAGCAAGAGAACACATAAAAGCGACATGCAATTCAAACTTTGCAATTCAGTAATGGTATGATAACATACAATACAGTAAATATCCCCAGAATAAGAGAAAGGCACAATTAGTGTGAACCATCCGAAACAAGAAAAACTACATTTAAGACAACAATATTACCTTTGAATCGGATTACAAGCCACAGTCTACACTCCCTTTTTGCATCGGGATGCCCTAAAAAACAAAAATATAAAGTACGTTATACAACACTTCTCTTTCAACCTGCATTACATACCAAATAATAAGAATCATATAATACCGCCATGTTCTCCCAGGACACTTTCTTCTTCAACATAGGTGTGTTCATGGTACTCTTGTACAAAACTATAGCACTATAAGGAAAACAAAAAAGATAAATAGAGAAATGTTAAAATCAAGAGTGATAGCAAATACCAAAGATTTTTGTTCATTGAGTCACTACTTACTTATCAACCACTTCAGTCCACTTCTGACTATCTATACGCCGTTTAAGGGGGTCCATGTAGTACACTACCTCTTTATTAGGTTTGACAATAGTCAAAGCCCAATGATTCCTACAAATAAAAACATATATGAATTACGACATTCTCACGAACTTAAATAAATTCGCATTTACATAAGTGTATTAACAAAGCATTACAAATGCAAATTGAAGACTAAGTTCACAAGGAAGAAACAATTCAGAACATCAGTTCTTGACATGAACAACTTAAACATACTTACACGTCATTGAACGGTATTAGAAAGTGTTGTCCATCACAGGCCCCCTTAAAGCGATCAGCAAGCTTGCGTGACCTCTGCCCTATGTTCCCACATGCAAGCGTCCCTACCATGCCGGGATCCACGAAAGAGATCATCTGAAGCATTTTGTTTTTTTTCACAAGCTCATACAGGGAGCTGCAAGGGTAATTACATGATAGTTATGTCACTTGTCCATAAGAATTTTATATCAAAAGGCTTTTAACAATGAAAATAAAATGTTTGTGTGATGACATTCTTACTGTATGTATATTGTAATTATGCTTCCAGCCATCTCGCCACGAGCGCACAGAGCATGTATATCACTCAGAAAAATTGATAACTTCTTTTCCACCCCAAAGGCATCTTTATTAAGGACAAAAGTATGTGCTCTATCATCAAACAATGCTTCCTTAGCCCACAACCATAGCCGTTTCAACTACAGTGGATACTCAGCACCAAATTCTACTTGGAACTCTTGGCCACATTCCTCATCGTCTTGAACATGTGCCTTTTTCAATCTTTTAGGGGCCTTTTTCTTTTTGACAGTTTTTAAATTGTTCTATAAAAAATGTGCACGTGGGTAAATATATTATCTAAAAGAATCAAGTAGACATAATAGTAGAGATATAATAACCTTTCCTTTAGGAAGAACATCCAAGACTATCAGCTCCTTAGGCCATGCCACAAAAGTTCCTTTGGCTTGTTCAACAGTAAGTACTTCACCGGGGATTGGGACTGGAATGTCAACATCTAGCAAATATCAAAGATTAAAAACATGAGTACTTCTAAAATGTGTGCATTTCATCCTTAGCTAATACATTCAAAATATTAATAACTTGCTCATGCAAACCTTTTATTGCTTCTGTAATGGACACCTTTGCATATTCTTCACCCAGTTTTTCACCATGTAGGGTGAGGTCATCCATCCGGGAGAACCCATACACCTTTGCATGTGCAAAAAATATTGTCCACAGAACCAACAGCAAGCTGTGCCATTTGGCTCTCCCCGGAATCAACATCAACGAAGACATCTTTTTTTGCTTTCTTCTCTACTTTAAGTCCTCCAACTTCTACAAGCTTCTCCACAGTATCAATTTCTTGATCTTCTCTCTCATTATTTTCTCTATCTTTTTCATGTTGTTTCTCATCAACATGCTCAGCCACGGACAGTATATGATTACACTCATCACCAATGTCGTTATTCTCTCTGAGTGGTTCAAGTTCTGCATCAAATGAGTCCTTTAGATTCTTCATTGCCACTTGTTGATTCTGCCCACCTTCCCTGAATTTAGGTGAGCAGCTAGCCTCTTGGGAAGGGACAGCGGGACTACTTCCTTGTTTCTTCCAAATCTCTGATTTCAACTTCTCTATCTCAGCCATCCAAAAAGCATCTCTTGAAGCAACAATGTTATTCACCTCCTCTGCCAAAAGTTGTCTCACACCCTCCTTCACTTGCTCATCAACCGTTGTTTGTGTCTTCTGCTTCTTTGACCGCGGGAGATTGAAATACACAGCCTTCCTCACATGCATTCCTTGACCTCGAACTCTTCCACCGTGCTCGGGCTTCCCAAGAGCCTTGGTCAATACATCATCATCACCTTCTTCAGTAAGCACACCAGAACATACTTGTTCCCTTAAGAACTCCTGAAAAGGAACCGGAATTCTATCAATAAAACAGAAGTGGTATAGAACTCAAAATTTTAACATTACACTAAAGCATCAAAGGAATATCCACAGGGCTGCTGGGATTAGAGACATACAGCAACATTATGTGGAAGAACTTACTAATTTTCAGAAATTATTTAAAAACTTACAATTTCCTCCGCCTTCTGTTTTGTAGAGTCACTCTTGAAATTTCCTTCTTTGTCCTTCCTTGCAAGGACCCACGTAACAGATCGATCAATGACTGACTCATCTCCACTGTGTGTTTTTGCCTGCATGTTCATTTAGTGAGTAATGTATCATAGTCAAAATGTACATGTAGAAGAGGAATACTCCTAACACAGAACTCCGCATATATTAGTGAGTACTAACTCATTCCTGTTCCAGGTTTGCATGGCCTTTTCGGGACAAGAGATGAGGATATTTGTTTTCCTTAACTCTCTTCACATGCTCATCATGGACTTTCTGCAAAAAAAGGACAGTTCATCAAAAAGGTAGTATTTTAAATAAAGTACAATGGAAACATAGTCTTACCAAGAACTCGGGGCTTAGACGATCAGCAACAAAAATATCCCAATGTTTCTTCTCCAAGAAAGAGAAGTCCTCTGGTGGAGTCCTCAGCCTCTCAGGTTCATCTCGAAAGGGAAGAATATATTTACATGTCAGGGTACTCTTGAATTGTTTCCACTTCGAATTCGCCGACTGCAGCACAAGTTTTTGTGCAGAAGGGGGTAGGTCGAACCCAAACTATATGCATAAACATGGGAGGAATTTACTAGTCTAAGTTAGTTGGAAAACACAGGTATATAATTAATGATCAAGTTATTTATTTTGTAAGGACTAGTCAAGTGTTAGTATGGTTATATTTACCGTGACAGATTTCCAAATCTTGTTCTTGATGGTTACCGGAACTTGCCTCCAAGTGTCAAACCATATTGGAGCTTTTGTCCTGGCCAAAACTCCAATATGAGATTGCATCTCTGCAGCAGCCACACCATACGGTTGTCCCTTATCATTAAACAAAACCGTTGGTTTCTGTCCATTTATCTTACGTTTCACAACGCGGTGCATTGAAACACATCCACGTTTTCGGAGTTTCAACCCACCCCCAGAAGGCTTGGCGACACTTTCACTTTCTACTTCTTCCCGCTTTCTCTTCTGCTTGATTTGTTTTTGTACATTGTCAGATATAGGCTTTGGCTTTGGGGTGACGGGCAAGGGAGTAGAATGGCTTTGCACGTTCTTTGACCTTGAGCCACTCAATGCCTGCACCACTGTCAAAGTGCTCGGCCGATCTTTTCTTTTAAGCCTGGGAGATTTTCGGAGCTCGGGTTTTGGGGCACTATGACATTGCATTTCATTACGGTCTGAAAGACCTTCAGGTTTCTTGTGCCTTGGAGAGGATCGGAGAATTGGTTTTTGGAATGCACGTCCAGCCTGCGCATTCTGTTGAGTGCTGGACATATTCTGAAAGTGAGTGAAGATCAAACATTTCAGTATAAAATAAGGTTCGAATAAATGCTGCGCATAATGAAAAATTGGGATCTGCCTCAATTTGTAGGTGGGTTATCACATTCATTGTTTTAGGTGAATTTTCAGGAGTATAGTTTGTGATAAGGGACACTAAAACAGTAAAATAAATTTGATGTCAAGCATTACACAAACAACAAAGGTCTGTACCAAAATACTGAGATAAAAAACGTATTAAGATTAATATTTTTTTAAATATATTTAAAAAAGGATGGAAGGAGTATTGAGTTGACTCTAGAAAAAAAATTGTTCATTATTGCTGCTCTCTGTGTCACATTCAACGAATTAAGGAATTGGTTGAACCCTTTCTGGTTCAACCCTTTCTGGAAGCAAGCCTTTACAGATAGTAAATTAAAAATAATAACAACAAACCAATGAATTGTGACTTCAATGGATTGAGAAATGTAACCCTGACCTCTTTGGGGGGATCTGAGCAGCGAGGTAGACGCATGCAAGAAGAGGCCAAGAAGAATTCGACAAAATCGGGAAAACAAATATGGTGACTATTGTTGGAGGGAATACCAGATTTGAGGTTGTTTACGACTTACCTTATTTTAGGGTTTTCAGCTCCTATGTCGGCAAAAACGGTAGGTTATGGCTCCAGTATAGCAGAGGGAAGTGAATCGGAGAAGAAGGTTGAGTGAGGAGGCGACGGGAGGTAGGGATTGAAGTTTAGAGAAGAGTGGATGAATTGATAAGATTAGGTGAAGTTATTTTTTGGAGGCCTTCTCGGTTTTTGGGAGGTACAGGAACAAAAGATACATGGTGAGCTTCCAGCTTAATTTTGGAGGGTGGATGAAATTTTTAAAATATTTTGGCCAAAATTTTAGAGGGAGTATGCTTGGGAAATGGTAGGTTTTGGCGAAATTTTTAAAAGTTTTTGCCCCTTTTTTGCCAAAATTTTGCCACGTACAGAGTAGTAGAATTTGGCCAATATTTTGGCAAAAATTTTAAAAGTTTTAAAAAAAATGTTCTCTATTATTTTTTTTCACATGTACATAGTAGATTTGACAAGTTTTTTAAAAAATACTTCTTTCGTCCGAAAATATTCTTCCCGTGTTGATTTAAAAAAATACACATACTTTCCAAAATAAAAGGTATTATTGAATTTTATCTTTAAAAGTACACTAAAAAAGGAAATGGGAAGAATATTTTCGGACGGACTAAAAAGAAAAATGGGAAGAATATTTTGGGACGGAGGAAGTAGTCAAAAAAACTGTAAAGTTATTAGTTTTAGAAATGAACTCCTTGTTCAATTTACTTTTGTTCAAACTCCTGCGATTTTGTTGAATAATAATTGTTATTTATTTGATAAAATAATAAATTTGTGTCATATCTAGTTTTGTATATGTTTTGATATAGTTTCTGATATTCTATACCAAATTTCACATAAAAATTTTTAAAAGAACGGAGATCAAGGATATTATATAGTGTTATTACATGGACAGCGAGAGCAGTGGATGAAATGTGAAAACCAAAATATTACTTTGTGTTATTCTTAAATTAAAGACTAATTTTTATCATCGGAACGCGCGAGTAGAGTACGACTAAAAAATGACTTCGGTTATCGTTACATGTATCAGTTGGTTACTTTGCTTATACTGGTACCATATCTGCTGTAACATCATCATCGGGTTATTAGTATATATATAACAGTATATAACATCAGTTGAAGAGTTTGGTTATCTTATGGATGGTAACATCCAAGACTGAAACTGACGGTATATGTAACAGTATGTCTGATATTCGTAATTATCCTTGAAGGAGTCAAGATTGAGTTCGGTTACGTTGCCAGTACATGTAACAGTTGAAGAGTTTGGTTATCTTGGTAACACATCTAAGACAGAAACCGGGTTATCGTTATATGTAACAGTACGTTTGATATTGTTAAGTATTCGTGAACGAGTCAAGATTGAGTTAGCTAGGCCGGTTGTCGGTACATGTAAAAGAAATGGAGTTTGGTTATCTTGGTAACATCTTAGGCATAAACCGGGTTATCGTCATATCTTGGTAACAGTTTATATATTGGTTACTTTTATATTGAGTAATAATAATATATACTTTAATGGACTACGTTATACTTACACCAAATATTGTACCACATTTAATTTGTACACCTCAGTTATACAAAAATATTTTGATAGTTTACATTGACACATATGTTGGTGCGTTAACAAAAATTTACACGGACACAAAGTGTTGGTGTTTTAAAAAATATTTTTACACCAACTCAAAATGTTAGTGCAAATTTGCGGTGTACAAATGAGGTACAAAAACTTTGGGATACAAATTAAATAACTTTATCCTACTTTAATAACAACATTCAATTTGGACATGATAACCACTCATCTACCTCCATCCACCACCTAATAAAATCAATGACTTTTATCATGAGCTGAACAAACTAGAGCCACTCATCTCCCTTCCCCTCCTTATCCGATCGAGCTGCAGACTCAAGAAAAAACTCGTCCACTCATCTCCCTTCCCCTCATTCTCTCCATTCCCATGGCCCTCTCATCCGAATCTGTTGTTGGCGGCCATGTATCTGAGAACGAATTAATTTTCATTGAAAGCGACGACGATGGTGTGGATGATTCAAAGGAGACTGAAATCATCTATTACCATGAAGAGGAAGACGTCATAATCATTGCTGGGACTAAGAAGACGCAGTTGATGCTAGACGACGGCCAGAGGTATGAGATACTCGCAATCGAGACTTCTCCGGGGATCTACAAACCTTGGGATCCGAAGACAGATGTGATGAAGTTCATGCAACCCACTTCAGATGTGAACTCTTCGGTCTCAGAGATCAATTCCAAGTATGTAATTTCACAGCCAATTCATAAGATTATCGAATTTCATTTGTAATTTATGAAATTTCTACTTCATTGATACATGTGTGTTATACTTTAACCTGCTGGGATTACTGTATCAGTGTTCACTTCTAAAAGTGCATTGTGATTATTTGTAGTTGAACTGGCTGATTTTTAGTTGAACTGACTGATTTTTAGTTGAACTGGCTGATTTTTAGTTGATCTAATCTCTACTACACTAATGGGAATGTGTGATATTGTGATGATTATTAGTTGAACTAGCTGATTTTTTTGTACAATATATAATAAGCTAATTAAATGGCTTAAATGTCTGTTGAATGATCTCACCAAAGTAACAAACATGACAACTATCTTAACCAGCAGGTCCATGGTGTCTCTCCTAAAAGTGCATTATAGTTTAACCCTGGCAATTCAATGACACTATCTTAACCTACGAAAATAATTTCGGTGTGCCTGATAAATTGATTAAGGAGATGCTGGGATAATGTGTTATATGCATAGTACCAATTTGTTTAATTTCTTCTTACAACTGTGTTACACTATGTGATGATTAAATTCAAGAGCAACTCCTGACATAAATGTTTTTTTGTTTCAATTCGTTTGTTGTCCAAGGAGTAATGTGGCCATGGCTGAAGGCAGCAGGAAGGACAAAAGGAAAAAGCAGAAAGTGAGTGGTTGCTGCAGTACACATAAAAAGAAGAAGAAGGTGTAAACCAATGAAGACTGCCTGCATTCCAAATTACTTAAAATGGTGGAGGGGTGTTTGTAATGGGATGTTTTTGTATTGTTTTTTGGGTGGCCAATTAAAACCAAAATGTTATTTTTGGTATGTTATTATATGTTTTGTTTTCGGAGGGAAGTTTGGAACAAAATGTTATTAGATTAAGATGTTTTCTTTTGGTATGTTATTATGCGTCTTGGGATTTATGTATTATTTAAAAAAACGTTTCAAGGTATTCGACCAAAACCGACCTGAATTTTTTTTTAAGTCGGGTCGGGTATAGTACTATCTCCCTTATTCATCTAAGTATGAGTTATATTTTCGTGACATTTAAAGAAAAACGGTTGAAAATGCAAAAAAATCAAATTAACAGATCAACGTATAGAATTTGTTTAAAACAACTAAATTATGTTTAACACTATGAATTTTTAATGAAATACTTAGTATTAATTTTTTTGGTAGTCAAAACTTTTTGCATAATTTTTTTTTGCATATGACTTTTTGTGTATAATTTAGTTATATATAATTAATAGAAGTTTATAAGTCATTTTATTTGTGAATCTAACATTTGTTTTTTTAGTGTACATTTAGTAAAATTTGGTAGAGATTTGTACATTGAGCAATGCTATGGGTACACCATTTGGTGTACCCCAAATGTACACCACCCTCTTTTCCTCCACATATTTTCATTTGATTTTTATTTACTTATTTTTTTAAATTTTTTTTGCCTTTTTTAGTGGACAAGGAGGGGGTGGGGGATATTTGGGGTACATGGTGTACCCCTAGAATTTTTCTTGTACATTTGATCCCATCAAAAAAATTAGGTGAAGTCTAGCAGTGAAAAAAAAAAGGTGAAGTCAATCTCTTTTCCAGTTTCCTTGGGACCTGCGGTATAGCGTGTACAGTGGAAACCCAAATTGGGATCGCGCTGGGATGAAATTAAGCCAAGGGTGAAATCGAGCTCTTATGTTCAGAAATGGCCGGCGACGAGTAATTTCAGCCACAGTTGAGGTCTAGCTGTTTCTTCATCACTGCGGTATTTTCGGCGATGGAGTAATACTCTGCTAGCAACCCTTCATGACATGAGTCTGGTAAGTCAGCAGTCTTATCTCAATTACGTATGGATAAATCGTGGATGAAATCCGATAGAAGAAGCAGAGAGTATGAACTAGGAGTGGATGAATTGTTAAGGTCTGCAAGTGAAAACAGATTTGAGGGACAAAAAATTAGTTGTCCATGTCTAAAGTGTGTTCACACAAAATCCTGGAACACACAAACAGTTAGGGCACATCTTTTCCAACATGGTATTGATGAATCATATACATGTTGGATATGGCACGGAGAGCTAAATCCAGATGATGAACCCCCTCACCCACACAATAAACGTGTTCATGACTCATTTGATGATGGAACAGAAGAAAACAGCGAAGAAGATGGTGAGGACATGTCTTTTGAATACTCTGATTTCATGAACCATGTCCAAGGGGATTCTGAACCCCTTTACCTGGGATGCAAGACCTACACTAAGCTGAAGGCACTAGTGAAATTATATAACTTGAAGGCAAAGCATGGGATTTCTGATTCATGCTTCTCTGAAATTCTGCTTTTGCTGGGGACATTTCTCCCAAAGGGCAACTGCCTGCCTTCGTCATTTGGTGAAGCAAAGAAGACCTTATGTGCTTTAGGTATGGATTATCAAAAAATACATGCATGCCCAAATGATTGTCTTCTGTATTATGGCGAGAGAGATGAAGATAGTACAACATGTCGCATATGTGGGATCTCTAGATGGAAGTTGAATAGAAAGGGCAAAGAATTGGAAGGGGTACCCGCTAAGGTTTTGTGGTATTTTCCTTTACTTCCGAGGTTGAGGAATTTCTTTAATACACCACATATTGCAAAGGAAATGACTTGGCATGACAGCGAACGACAAAAGGATGGCAAGATTAGACACCCCGCAGACTCGAAAACATGGAAGGATGTTGACAGCCGGTGGCCTGAATTTGCTTCTGACACTAGGAACCTTCGGTTAGCTTTATCAACTGATGGATTCAATCCATTCCGTGGAGTTTCTACAACGTACTCATGCTGGCCAGTTTTAATATCGATTAACAACTTACCACCTTGGTTGTGTATGAAGAGAAAGTATATAACCTTAAGCATGTTGATATCAGGACAAAATCAGCCCGGAAACAACATTGATGTCTATCTTCAGATGGTAGTTAAAGACCTTCAAATGTTGTGGATTGGTGTTCAAGTCTATGATGCGTACAGAAAAGAGTTCTTCACATTGCGGGCAGTTTTGTTGTGGACAATTAGTGATTATCCTGCATTGGGTAATTTGTCAGGCAATGTTGTAAAAGGCTATAATTCATGTGTTGTTTGTGGTGATAAAACAAATGCTATCAGGTTGCGTAATTACCGTAAGATGGTGGTTATGAAGCATCGCAGGTGGTTGCCACGACAACATCCATATCGAAGGCAGAAAGCAGCCTTTGATAACACAGTGGAAAAGAATGCAGCTCCTATCCCATTGACTGGGGAAGAGGTATATTTACATGTGCAATCGTTAAGTGACCATGTCTACGGGAAGACACAACCACATCCTCGTCTAAAAAAAGGAGACATCCGACCTACTTGGAAGAAGATGTCTATTTTTTTTAAACTGGAATATTGGAAATTTCTGCCAGTAAGGCATGTTCTCGACGTAATGCATATTGAGAAAAATATATGTGAGGCATTAATTGGTACGTTGCTTAATATACCAGGGAAGACAAAAGA